CCTCTCTACAACTTAAGAGAATGGTTCTAAAAATGAATATTTGCTTTTCAGAGACATGTACAAAAGAATCATTAAATACCAACTACTAATTTTTATATTAGATTTGTTGCAATGAGTTCAGAAAAATAGGATGTATTATCTTAATCTTTAAATCAGAAGTCAAACAAATCATGAAGTAAACTATCATTGTATATTCAAAATTCAAATTTAGATACATAGTGTATATATAACATGAACATAAACATTACTAATGAGAACTTGCTATTTATCAAAAACAGTCCTAAGTATGTAGTCAAATATTATTATTATTAAAGTTATATAATTTGACATATAAAATGCTCCTTTAGACTTCTTTGGGAAAATATTAATTTGGCATATAGAAAAACTATACATAGTTCACTTTTCAAAGGAACTATAAAATTATTGATGATGTCATCACATTTAGTTAAAAATATATATAACAATGTTTTTGTAAATTATAACATTAATGAAAACAGATGTATTCAAATTTTGATGACAATTTATGCAAAAGGATCAAATGTTTATATCTGAATAACTACAAAACAGTTATAAATTATAAAATAATTATTTTGAAAAAGTGTGCATGGAATTAGAATCACAAATACAATGAATAAATTATATATCAAAAGCTAGTATAAAAATAAAACATAAAATGTATCTGAGTGTATCATATTACTTTTACTTTCATTTCTGTTGGATGTTTTATATCAGCAAAAATAATGATTTGTAATTTGCAATATCCATTGAAAGAATCTTTTAATTAAGACAAATTAACACTAATCAGAAATGTAACTGACTGTAATGGTTGATTAACTTTTTAAATTTAGATAAGTGCAATGCCACAAATTCCAATGACTAAAGTGCACTCCTAAAAATAAAAAATCTGTTTAAATTGGACAAACACAAATATTTATACTAAAGAATTCACAAGCTAACAATCTAGAAACAATGTCTTAACACATTTTCATAAGATCAACATTCCAGAATTTTTATGATGATTGTTATCATCTTCAATACACAACCTGGAAGTAATACAGCAATAACAAGAGTGTTTTACTTAAGAACAAATAAATCTTGTAAAAGATGTACCATTCAATTACATAAGAATTTTTTCCAGTAAACTTTTTTAATATTCATCTGAAATTTCATTGAATTTCTAATTAGTAATTTTTTTCTTTCTTTATTATACTTATTTAAATACAATATATTATTTGTATTTTTAATAAAATAAAATATTAAGTCTTAAAATCTGATCTAGCCCATCATGACCATCCTTTTATACAGATTGGGATTGTGAAGTATGATGCACAACAAAAATAAAATCTTCAAATCCTAAAACATGTAAAAATGCCTACATTTTTACACATTTTAGCAATACATATATATAAATACTTATAAAGTATTCCCAAAATAAACTGAAGTGCCAAAAAATTAGAGACAGCAGCAGATGCGATGTTGTTATTTTCTATCTGCATTTGACACTTTAGGTACAATACTTATCAGTTATGTGTGAGCTTAGAGTAGCAATGGGCCACATAAAGGGTTTATTGCCATTTGATCATAGACAGATTGCTGGAGCAAGAAAATGATCACTCCATCAGTGAAGAATCCAATGCTCTTGGATTTTCTCATGCAAGAATTTCAAGGGTTTACCAGGAACACTTAATTTTTGAACAGATATCAGCAGCATGTGCACAGTGTGGGCATCCATGGCTGATGCAAGAACATGACTGGTAGTGGCTAACGAGATTAGTAACCATGCAAAAAAACTCTGCACCAAATCACATCAGATTTTAATATGGGCACTGCTGAACCCATCAGTCAATGCACTGTACTGTACAACATACACTGTATTCCTCGGGGTTTGGTAGTCGCTGACTCAATCTTGTATTACTATTAACACCCAACATCAGGCAATGCACTTCAACTGGGCCAAAGAACATCAAAATTGGACAATGGATGACTGGCACAGTATTATCTGGTCAGATAAATCTTGTTTTCAACTCTTTCAAGCTGATAGAGTCTTGTTCATATGCGGCAACAGCTGCATGAAGCCTTGAATTCATCTTGCCAGCAAGGGGTTGTGCAAACTGATGGTGGCTCCGTCCTAGTTTGTATGTGTTCTGTTAGCATGAACAGTGACTAATGGAGAGAATGCAGTCAACTTTGACAAGTACAACATATACTAATCTTGTGGCAGATGTTTTGCATGCCTTTAAGCTTGATATAGTAATGGTTTGTACCAGCAGAATAATGCTACTTCCCACAGGATACAGGGTGGCGCAACAATGATTTGAGAACACTTGACAAATTTTCAGATATTCCCTTGGTCACCTCGATCACCAGACTTGAACCCATGAGCATTTAAGAGACACTGTGCAGATACTACTCAATGCCTTGCAGAACTATCACACAAATGCAACTGAATTATGAAGAACCATTGGATGTGTCTAGATTGAAATATCTGTGTAACAACTCAGATACCTCGTAAAGTCTATGGCATGCCATGTAGCTGCTGTTATTCAAGCTCAGGGAGGAGCTACACATTATTAAATAAGTGTGTCTAATTTTTTGGCACTTCAGTTTAAATAGTTCTTAAAATAATAAAATAAGGCAATGCTCATCATGTGTCAATATTTATTGATTTCATTTTTTAAAAATAAAACTAAATCCACAAGGAATTGGATTTAACTATATATGAAGCATGCAGTGCCATAATGTTGTAAATGCCAAAAATTAAACTTCTCAAAAGAGGTAAAAAACACTTTTTCTAATAAATGAATTCATTTCAATTTTACAATAAAATGGTAAAAAACTCACTAGGTTACAAATTCTCTGGAATATCAAAATGATGTAAATATAAGCCGTAATGTTTTAAGAGCCAAAAGTTGTGGGACTTGCACTCTGGCACTTTAAACGTTATATCTTCACATAAATTCATCTTCAAAATACTACTTACAGTGCCAATATTGCCACAATATTTTTTTGTGCCAGCAAACATTGCATTTAGAATACAATTCTTCAATAAAACATATTTAGAGAAAAATGGCATTTACGCTATGCCATTGCACACTTCATCTATATTTGTGAAATGAATCACTATCAGCCAAAAAACTTATGAAATTAAATCAGCAATGATACCAATAAGAAATTTTAAAATTACATTTCAATTCATACTGAAACTTGTTTATAGTTTGCATTACCAATGACCATAATCACAATTATTTGGCTAACATATAAGTTTATTGATAAAACAGCTTATCAACAACAGAATAATAATAATAATAAGTAAAATTTGAAAAAAAAAATTTTAAATATTTTATGATTAAAATAAATTTATAACAATTATTATGATTATTAAAAATGACTAAAAACCACTCAAATATAAAATAAAGACAACTTAAAACTCAGTGTTTTAAAGAGTTTTGTATCTTGAGTTGATTTTAAAAATTATACCTCCTCTCTACAACTCTCCAGAGTTGTCTCCAAAATTCAATATTTTTTTCATATGGAGTTAGAATGATATTTTCTTTTTCTTGTAACCTAAAAATAAAAAATTAAAATGTCAATTTAATAAAAGTATTAAATCGTATCAAAATTTTAACTAGTATAGATTTTCAAGAAAATTTATTATGCTAACACAAAATTATCACCTATGTTTGTCACTGGCATAATGAAGTTTGACAATACAGTAGACCCCCCCTATAATTATGATTCCTATAAAACTGCAAAAAAATTGTGACAGTATCCGTAAAAACCCGTAAAAAACTCCTATAATTACGTAAAACGTCATCGGGCAGCCGAACTACTTTCCCGCCGTCTGTAGCGCCACGCTACGGAGAGATTACTATCGTCTGGACAATATTATATAAATTATATATAAATTAGGTACTGTACATATAATTATATATTAATTATATATAAATTAGGTACTGTATATAATTTTATATTAACTTATTGTAACTTTGA